AAATTCCTCTAAAAAGAATGTGTGTTCTCAAGAGAAGCTAGCTATTAAATAATTCTTGTCTTTGACACAATCCAGAAATAACATCGTTTTGTGTCTTTACAAACTCAACTTTCTGCCTTCACTGTAGAAGTGTCTTTTCATGCTCAAAATCTCCAAGATTGTACCACAAAATGCAAAGAAAGGATTTTAAGATAGGGTGTCTATATAAAATAAATAAAAGAGTTGGGGGGTATGAGAAGTTGGAGCGAGAAAAGGGAAGTTGTAAATAATGTGATTGTATTTTAATTTCAAAAAATAAAAATAGTTATACAAAAGTAAGAGAGAATATCACTTCAAAATTTAATCTTTTCAAAATTTGTTCATAGACTGTTTTTCTCAATGAGAAGGTATGGATATAATTATCCATATATATTCCATACACACACACACACACACACACACACACACACACAACTTGAGAAGAGGAAACAGCGCTATTTCTGTAACATACACTTATCCAAATGTTAGATTACTCTGATTGAAACAATAGGAAGTGATATGGGTTGGGAAACAAAGAAGACTGTTTTCCCTCATCATCTCCCGCCATTTCTATTCTCGAACTGTGACTTCCTGTTCTTTCCATTCTGTTCACAAATGGATATTGGTGGGAAATCCACGAAGTGCAAAGTGGCTTTACCTGCTGTGCTGCAGGCAGAATTGACAATTCAGAAACACCACCCTCTAGGTGTCTCTCCCCTTCTCACTGTCTCTAGGGGAAACTAAGATGTCATACATTCCTCAGAGGAGAAGGAAGGTGACAGGAAGCCTGTAAGAAACTCAGAGCACCCTAAACTGTGGCATTTGCCTTCTCATTGCTTGCAAATATGCTCTTTAAAAAAATAAAAATAAATTTATATATTACATCCCTCCTCTCCTCCCAGTCCCTCCCCTCCAGTTCATTAAAAACCAAGAGAAACAGACTTACCCAGTGGGTAGAGGGAGTTTGGAAGAAATCCCCATCATCAATACAATCAGTCTGTTTTCTATACAGTGTCACTTTGACCTATACATTAAGTCCATGCTTCCAGAGCACTCTGCCACTGCACATGCCTAGAGATTTGGGGCTCATTCTTACCTCAAGTGTTTAGAAGCTGTCCAGCTGATAAAACTAAGAGAAGGAAATTGCCACAAAAGATATAGTAGTTTTCAGTAAGACAACATGAGGTCATGATTGCCAGGTGGTGATTTTTTAAGGAGAAATTAGGGAAAACCTGTAGTTGGTTGGTTTTTACTCTTTTGCTCTTTTGGCTCTTGGCTATTTGGGGGCCCACTTCCCAGTAAGCACACAGAGGCTTATTCTTTCTTATGAAGGCCCAGCCTTTGCTTGACTTACTTCTGGTTAGCTTTTCTTAACTTACATCTATCTTTTGTCTCTTTGTTTCATTAGTATGTTAGCACGGAACATCAACACTGTCTCAGCCGGCATGTTAGATACCAGAGATGCAGCAAGAAAGAGACAAAGGATAAATAATTAATTAGTAATGATTTCATAATACCAACTGACCTTATACACAATGGACAGCAATAAAGGATGGAAAGGAGGAAAGCGCAGGCTGTAAAAATGGGAAGTTGGCTTTTCATAGAAGACGGTGAGACTAGTTAGGCTGGAGGGGAGGACAGACAAGTGGGAGAGGGGAACAGTAAACATGTTGCAGACCAACATAAAGGCCCTGGCTTATAAACCGTGTCATCATTTGCAGTGTCTTAAGCCAAGAAGAAATGTGATCAGTAATATGTTCCTCATACTCAACAAAGACAGGGTTGGAGGAGCAAGACCAAAGAGGGCTGGCGCAATGGTCCAGGAGAGCTGGTCATGTCTAGCCTTACAAGAGCACTGGGGAAGGTAGTAAGGAGATGGTTAAGTTCTAATGAATCTATAATTTTTATTTTAAAAAATATCTATTATGGTGACTTGAGAGTTGGCTCAGTGGATAAAAGCATTGGCTGCTTCTTCCAGAAGACCCCGGGTTGAATCCCAGTGCCCACATGGCAGCTCACAACTGTATATTTAACTCCAATTCCAGAGCATCTCATGCCCTCTTCTGGCTTCTGTAGGCACTAGGTATGCATGTGGAGCACAGACATACATGTAGGCAAAACATTCCTTTGCATAAAAGAAAGAAATTAAATAAAATTTATATTATACTCATACTACTAAAAGCCATTCATCATCTGTAACTGGTTTAAGATTTCTCTCAGGGCTTCTGTGAATATATCATTTGTGGTATATAAAAGAGCAAGGCTTTAGGGCTTCTATTGTTAACATATTCAGCTAAGTGGATAAGGAACATTGTTTTTAAACTTCCAGCTTTTAAGTTTTCCACTAATGTAGGAAATATCTGCTATATATAAGAATGTTTAAAATATTTCCTTCATTAGTGCTTCTCATATACAACTCCCAGAGCTGAATAGGACTTTATTTTCTGTTCTTCATTATTTTGTAAGAAAAGAAAAGAAAAAGCAAGTAAGGTGTGGGCACTAAGAACACTGGCTTCAGACTGTAGGTGACCCAGCTTGGATTTCAGTCCTCTGCCCCCTCCATTTTTGGAGAAGTAACCTCACCTCCCTGAGCCTCATCGTCCTCCTCTCTTGGAAACTGCAGACAAGACTATTAGGAACATCCTTTTATTCTGCAAGCTAAAAGCCACCTACCCAATGCCAGGTGCATAGTTTGAGTTCTGCAATTAATAATTGCAATGTTTCTTTTGACAACAGCAGTGAGTAAAACACTGCTGATAACCTAAGAATTACTTACGTTTATTATTAAGTCCCTGTAAGCTATTACCCTAAAGCTCGATCACAGCCAAGCTGTCAGTCATCCCTGATAACCTATATTAGGAGACTACTGTGTATTCCTAATATTCAGGGGTTTGCCTTATATATTGCACTTAAAAAAAGGGGGTTAGCTAAAGACAAGTTCAGATCATCCAGTATATTTTACCTGTTTGAGTTGTACTTGTTATTAATAAACTTGGCGAACTGACAGTGTTTCAATACGTGTGGCAGTATTTATCACCTTGATAAATACTTGATGCAAAACCTCCCCTGACTCACCTTTCTCACTGTGCATTGCAGGAAACCTTATTGTGTCCTGCCAGGTAGGCAGGGCTCTGTCATTGCAGATCATGACCTCATCAGGCAGTTGAAACAAGAACAGTCACTCAAACCTCACAGTAGAGCATCTGTCAGAGAACCATGTTAATCATCAGAATGGAAAGCACCTTGAGCTTTTACCAAATTTTCATGGCTTGCTGTGAAACAACCTGCTGCAGCTAACTGTATGGAATGAATTCTTATTGCTGCCTGTGCGACAGCATAATATAAGGCTAGTTGTATCTGAATGCCCACATTCTGAGGTCAGTGCTTTCCACATAGCGGTCAGGTAGTACTGGGGGTATAACTCAGCTGATAGTGTTTGCCTAACATACACAAAGCTCTGGGTTCTACAGCCAGAGCCACCTAGCCAGCACAGTAGTACATGCCTGTGATCCAACATTTGGGAGATGGATCAGGAATTCAATGTCATTTTTGGCTGTATAGGCTAGTTTGAGGATAGCCAGGGATAAATGCAATCCTGTCTTAAACAAAACAGAACACTAAAGTCAGGTGATGTTTTGTGATCACTATCACAAATGTTTACTAATAACTAATAAAAATTGTCTGGACTTCATGTTAACATTTGCTTAGTAAAAGATGATTTTGAATCAGTATGTGAAACAATCTATTATTCAATTAATGCAAAACACCAGCATTAAATGTAATTGTCTGCTGGATAACTTACACATTGGCATTTTCTCCCTCCTAAGAGTACTTGAAAAACAAGCACACTATTTTTTCATTGGTCTTTCCATAGTTAATGCTGAAAATGCATTCTTATATGACAAATATATCTGGTGTGTTATTATAAATATAAAATTAAATATTTCTTTGTTTAGAAATTAATTATAATTGCAAGAAATGTTTTCAAAGACTAAATCCCAACAGCATGCAAATTTCTGAAGTAACAAATTATTTATCGTATATAAGGACAAAGTCCTCATACTTAAATGATGTTTAGATGTGACTAGAAGATCACTATGTCAACAAGGTTAAGGTATAACTTTCAAGTTAATTGCTTTTGTCCTAATTGACTAGTTAACAAGAGTGAATTATATATTCATGAGCACACACACATACACACAAATGGGAAACATCAAATTAAAACCTGTTTGCAAAGTAACTCTAACCATTTCTCTTTGCATTTAATAATCTTTGTTTCTACCTATTTTATACACAAGCATTAATATTAATACTTTGGAATAATGAGTGTACATCTTTGGGAAAATATAATCAGTTAAAAATAAGCTAATGAGAAAAATTCCTGTTGATATTACCAAGTGCTGAAGATGTCCTGCTATACAAGCAGAGATTCAAATTGATAGAGTTTTTGTAGAATTTTCTAAGTATTATTTGTTAATATGTCTTTTCTACTAGTTACAGGCTCAAATATTTATCCAAATTTTCTGTTTCTTAAAAAATTTAAATATCTCCAGCCTCCTGTTTTGTTTGTTTTTATTTGGAAGAGAAGCAGTTAAGATACTTTCATTTGCATTCAGCCTGTTTTTATAATCGTTCCATTCAGGGGATAGTCATTTAATTGGTCAGATGTTTAATTCCACTACAGAATATTTTCCTTGCCATTTTCAAGGACTGGTTGTTGTTCTCTGTGTCTGGAAACGATTCATTGTCATCATTCTCCTTGAAGGATGTCTAAAAGAATAAACCCATTCCATTCATTCTAGGTCAAAAATCTGAAGCAAATGGCTGCAAACAATTCTATTAAATTTCCAGTATAAACACAGCTAAGGCTAATATGCCTTTTATCCGATTATTTGAATGATTTAGGGATACATTTGTGTGTATAAAATCTTTCAAGGTAAATAATCTGTTAATACAAATTGTGGATTCTCATTTTTCTTCAGGCCTGATGGAATTGGAACAGTTTCAATGGAAGAAAAAGAAAGGTTTGAGGAGATAAAGGAGAGGCTTTCTTCCCTGTTAGAAAACCAGATAAGCCACTTCAGGTAAGCCTTGTATTTGATCCAAGTATCTGTTTTTTCCAGTCTTGCTTTATCCTCCATCTGCCCCGCCCCCCATACATTTTTTTGTTAAATCTTCTTGCCACCACTCGAGAATTACCAGTAGGTTCTAACTGCTTGGAGTATATGATCCAGTCTTCATTCTGTGGTCTGCTTCCCAGATGGTCATTTGTTTCCACTGTTTTTATACCTTAGCCGTTCCTGCTGTAATGTTCATCTGCTCTGTCTCATGCTTTTCCTTTACATTTTCATCCTTGCATAGTATTTTTTTTCCATCCCAGCTCTAGTGATTTTTCTTCCTTTTTTTTCTATACCACTAGGCAAGGAAACTCTCACCTCTGTGATGGAGGCGCTCTCAATTTTTCTATCAAAGAATAGTCTCAAGCCTTTCAGCAATTATTTGTGCTTTTCATTTGTCCCTGTATAAGATAGTTAATAAATTCATTGCTTAAGCCACTAGTTATCTTTGAATTCACATCATAAGCTATAGCACCTAGTGCTCCTTGGTCAGTAAGATTAGATATCAATACTAATAATCATTTGCAAAGTGAAAGATAAACAGCTTGATTCTATTCTTGCCCTGGTTTGTTAGTCTCAAATAGCCCGATGGTTAGAAAAATAAATGTAAATATGCTAATATACTTTCTTCTACCACTCTTACTAGACTCTATGAAGTATTGTTACATCAGTTAATTGTATCCTATAAAACATCTATCATGCTGTGCTTATATGGTTTAAATCATTTCAAAACAATCAACAAACTACGAATATACATTCCCACCAAGGTGTTATTCACATTTGAACATGTGCACTCTGTGCCTCCTATCCTTATCTGCTACATGAAAAGATGAGAGACTGTGATTTTTAAAATGACACTAAGCAATAAACTCTCAAGGAGAACAGGTGGTATCTGTTGGTTTACACTAGAGGCTTTCAGCGGTAGCTGAAACCATCACCTCTGGGATGTACAGACAAGAGAATCAGTCATACAGGCTGTCACTAGTGCTAGACCCACACGGGAAAATCACTGCCTCCAGAGAGTGTATAAAAACATAATGGAATTCAACTTGCAAACTTAGTTATCTACATAGATTTTCAGTTTACAAATAAAATATAGTCATAAAGAAGGTTTTTGTATTTGTAAAGGCCTGCTTCTGCATTCACTGTTGTTAAAAGTTTTGCCTTTAGGGTGTAGAGAGTCTCTTAAATGTATTTTGTGAGTCTGTTGTTGGGGTTTTGTTGTTGTTGTGTTGTTTTCTCTTTGGGGGCCTGCCACCTAGCTCCCAAATAAATACACAGACACGTATACTTACTTATGAATGCCCAGCCTTAGATTGGCTTGTTTCTAGCCAGCTTTTCTAACTTAAATTATCCTGTTTCTCTTTATCTACATTTTGCTTCCAGGCTTTTTGCCATTCTTTATTCTATGTGTCTTTCTTTCCTTCTTACTTTGTGGCCAGTTGGCTGTGTGACTGAACCCTGGCATCCTCCCCTCCTCCTCCTTTTCTTGCTTCTCACACTTCCCTCCTAATTACTTTCTGTGCCTGGGAGCCCCACCTTTTTCTCTCTCCTGCCTAGCTATTGACCATTCAGCTCTTTATTAGACCAATCAGGTATTTCAGACAGGCAAAGCAACACAACTTCAGAGTTAAACAAGTGCAACATAAAAGAATGCAGCACATCTTTGCATGATTAAACAAATATTCCACAGCATAAATGAATGTAACACATCTTAAACTAATATTCCACGCAGTCTTTTGAAGAAAATCAATCTTGTAATCCCAGCTACTTAAGAGGCTAAGAGACAGTAAACAGTAAATGATAGGCCCATCTAGGTTAATATCAAGAGCTTAATGTCAGTCTGTGCAGCGGAGTGAGACCCTGTCTCAAAAATAAAGGGGATGAGCTAGAGAGAAGGTCAGTGGTTAAGAGTGCTTGCTGCAGCCGGGCATTGGTGGCGCACACCTTTATTCACAGCACTCGGGAGGCAGAGGCAGGCGGATCTCTGTGAGTTCGAGGCCAGCCTGGTCTACACAGAGTTCCAGGGCAGCCTCCAAACAATACAGAGAAATCCTGTCTCGAAAAACAAAAAGCAAAAAAAAAAAAAAAAAAGAGTGCTTGCTGCTCTTCCAAACAACTTGAATTTAATACCTAGTAGCAACATTGGGTGATGGTAACTCATTGACAGTCCAGTCACCTGCTTAGTATAGGCAAGTTTAATTCCAGTATTTGGGGGGAAAAGGAAGAGAGAAATTTCATTTCATCAATAATAATAATAATAATGAGTATAAAAAGTTATTTAGGCCCAATAATATTCTAGAGATTGTGGTCTATGATCTGATAAAACCGCTGAAGATCAGAATGCAAAGCTAGCCACAGTCATAGAAGCTGAGCAGTAGTGGCACACACCTTTAATCCCAGGACTCAGGAGACAGGAGCAGATGAGAGTTCAAGGCCACCCAGGGACACATGAGAGTGAAACAATCTAAAAGAGAAACAGCTCACGCCTTTAATCCCAGCGCTAGAAAGGTATATAAGATAGGGGTGAGGCATTCAGTATTCAGTTTTAGGCATTCAGTCTGCAGATACATTGAGGATTTATTGGAGCTAGGATCACCCCCAGTCTAAGACAGAGCTAAGAACTAGTGGCTGGCCACTTTGTTTTTATGATCTTAAGCTTTAACCCCAATATCTGTCTCTGAGTTTTTATTATTCATGCTGCAAGAGATGGATTTCAAGAACAGAACAAACTAAACAACAAACTTCTTATGAAGGATGGTAGGTTGAAAAGGAAAATAAGGTGATACCTTGGATATATGTCTCAGTTTCTTGTCAGACATGGAACGTAATGGCCAGAGGAGTCATAAATCCAAAAGGACAAGTGTGAGAACAGAAAATATGAGGAAGAAAAAAAAACTGGAAAATATTGTAGAAGTCAGTCAAATGAACAGTATCTAATATAGACATTCCCAGGGAAAAGAATCCTCGACTGGCATTGTAAAATCAGAGAAATAAATTGTTTGAGATACATACATACATACATATATATATATATATATATAGCCACCAACATCTGTAGGAACTGGAGTAGAGCACCTCCAGAAAGTGAGAGTCCAGAAGGATTTATAAATCCATAAATCCACTGAGATGTGCTTAGATCCCCAGCTGTCTATCCTACACAGCTCTCCTATTCCAGTATCAGTCTACATATTCTCAGAGAAAGTGAAGGTTCCTAGACAGAGATAGTGGGCACAGGAAGCGTCACCCATGGTTGCAGGTTACAATAGGGAGATAGTATAAGCCTCTATTTTGAAATTTTGAGAATGGTATGCCTCTCCCACCTCATAGACTTGACTCTCCCAAAGCTAGCAGTCAGGCATGCATGTTGTCTTCTGAGTATTTCACTAGCCTAAGAGAAAAAACCCTGCAGCTGTAGATAGAAAAGACTTCCCTAACATACCAGCAAGAGGCACCTCAGCAAAGACCATTGTCCTTAAGAACGGCCTACACAATTCTGTTTCTCAGTGCTTACATTCTCTGGGGTAAAGTTTTGGCCAGCAGTTGCATTCTCTAAAGGCAGCCATTGTTAATAATGTGGGGTGCCTCTGCCCATATTTTGTTAAGCTTATATTAATAAAAACTTAGTAGTCCATTAAAAAAAACTGCCTACACGCACACAGCTTCTTTTCACTTTCTAATAATATGCTTTTGAAAATAGTCATTGATGTAGATCATCAGACATTTGAGAAAAGTATTTAATGTGGAGGAAAGAGCCCAATGAAAGTTAACAACAAAGGGAGGTGACAACTTGGGAATTATAAAGATTGTGTGGGGAAAGGGAAAGTGGAGGGATCTTTTATTGAAGTTTTAGAGAATTTTAAAGAGATGGCACCTGTCCATCAAAAATAAGATTGGGAAGTTAGAATGAAACTCCAGAGAACAAATAGAACTCTAGAGATGGCGTGAAAACGTGACACATACAACGTATAAACACACCATTAAGAGGCTGAGTTTATGAAAACTTCCAGAAGACACAATTGTTCTCTTAATTGTTTAAGGATCCCCAGTCAGATAAAACTGACCCTTGACTTCATCATAGAAAGAAATTTAAAGATGGACCAGTATAAAGCAGAGTTAGAGTTTATTGAAAATAAAATAAGAAGCACCCAGAGAATGTGTGTGTAGACTTCTCAAAGAAGAGCCCCCTGGACTGTCTTAACTGTAGCCATATATAGTTCTGGTGATTCTCATGTGACATCTCAAAGACTGATGAGAAAAAGTTCTCCCTTTTTCATCTCTGTGTTCAATAAAGGAAATTCTAGAGTGGCTATCAAAGTGCCAAAGGTGGAATTACAACTGATAACTTAAAACCATAATCAGTGGGATATCATAATCAAAAGTAGACACGTTGTTGTTGTGCCCAGACTCTGAACCCCAAAACCACCAAGAGACCAGCTCTCATGCAAAAGCAGATCTTTAATTTACGAGTTAGCTCGGGTCCTCTGTCCAACCAACACAGCAGGTGGAGTAGGGGGGGGAGCAAGCAGCAGTGGGGTAGGGCATATATGGGGGTAGAGCAAGGGAGTGTCTGAGGGTCTGCTAGTTGCATAGTAACAGTCTCAGGATTGATGCAACTCTGTCCTGAGGTGATTGGTCAATTGCAGCTGCAAAAAGGTTGCTATGCCTGGAGGCCATCCAAGGGCCATTGCTACCTACTGCACACCGGAAGCCTTCCAGGCCAGCTAATTTCTGGTTGGTTCCTTACCACATGGATGGTATCTGGCAGTTTCTTCCCAGTAATTAGGGCAAGGTGGGATAAGGTATATGTGTGTGTGGGGGGGGTGCTGGGGGGGTGGTCAGTACATCCTGCTGAGTCAGGGGCCTACATTTTGCTGAATCTTTTCTGCAGCCTGTCATGGCTTCCAAAGCAAGGGGCTGGGTGAGGGTCTGGGCCCTTCAAAGTCTTTCACTCTGAATGAAATTTGAGATAAGATTCCCAGAAATGTGTAGTTTACAGCTAGGCAAGAGAAAATACTACATAAAGTGAAGCCTTAAGTGTGATCCATTCCCGTTTCAACATTCTTATTTGAAAATATCTCTAACAAGTAGAAATATTGTCCCTGCAGCAAATGTTATTTGTTTTAGAATTCTTGATTTTTCTCCTGACTTGGCCAGAGACTTCAACCAGATTCTGAAGTTAATGGCCCTTTTTTCCCCCATGTTCCCATAATCTTTCCTGGTTTTATTCTGCCTCAGTTAATGTAATGTGAGCACTCAATGATGGGCGCAAATGGTAAACCTCGTTAAGAAGAAGAGATAGGAATCGTATATGCTGGAAAAAAGAAAAAGGAAACAGCATTTTTCAGGAGGGAAATACAACTTAAAACTGCAGTTAGTTCCAGGGTGGCCAGAGTCTGGAATCCTAGCATTAGAGAGGCTGAAGCAGGAGGATGACCAGCCAGAAACAAACAAACAAAAGCCCTCCAGACCTCTGAATCTACAATTCAGAACAGCAAATCTGAACTTTCAAATGCTGTTGGCAAGGCTGGGGCAATACAGCCCACTTTGGTTTCCTTTAGTGTGTTCCTAGATTTGTCAACACTGGCTGCACATAGCACCTATTTCACTATTTCATGCCTAGGAATTTCCCCAAGTGAAAGTAAAGCCCATGCAGACCAAAGGATGAATGGATGTCCATACCAGAATTGTTAATAATAAAATGAAAATTAGCTCATGAGCGGCCATTAAGGAATAGATAAACAGTGTCCTCATAGAATCGTGCAGCCTGCACCAATGCACAGGGATGAAGTGCCATGTGAGCACTCAGACACAAAATAATTCAAACTATCTATGTCTTCTTATGTAAGATTCTAGACAGTAATCTCATTCCAAAGATAGAAAGTTAATCTCTGGGTACCTCGTATAGAAGGAAGGTCATAAATTTCCATGGTGACAATTCAAAAACAAAAAGAGATACACATGTCAAACAAATTTTCGTTTGCTTGTTTGTTTTTGTTTTTTCAAGGCAGGGTTTCTCTGTATTGATTTGGAGGCTGTCCTGGAGATCACTCTGTAGACCAGGCTGGCCTCGAACTCACAGGTACCTGCCTGCCTCTGCCTCCCGAGTGCTGGGATTAAAGGCATGCGCCATGCGCGCCCGGCTAAATTTTTTTAATTTTGTAATTTAAATACGTGCAATTTATTCTATATCATTCAATAGATAACACTGAGGGCTGAAGATAACTCAGCAGGTGGGGTTTATCTGTCGCATGCAGTGCTCCCATCACCCAAAGCATAAATGGTCCTGAGGGAGTCTCTCTCATAGCAGGAAGTTGGTAGAAAGTGAAAACACAAGTGTACAGTTTGAGGATAGAAAGTCCAAATGTCAAAAGAGTAGGCTAAAACTTGACCTCTTTATCTCATATTTTCTAAAACACAGAAATTACTTGGGACAAGGCAGAGCGAACATTTTTTTTTTAATTTCCAAAAGCCTGTTAGAGGAAGTGTGGGCAGAGCACATAGGACTCCAATAAACGTTAAGGCTGCACTTCAATAAGGAAAGGGGGCGGTGCTGAGTTGTAGGGTGGCTCTAACCTGGTTCATTTATCTGTGAAACTCATTTGCCAAAGTGGGAATGAGGTTGCCTTCAGTTTACTCAGGTTAGGTATTAAATGTGGTTGAATCCTATTCAATAATTGAATGTTTTCCACTTTGCTTTGCTGGTGCGTAGCTATCCTGAGTGGCAAAACCCCAAAATATTTATCCTGAAAGGTGGCAGGGCAAAATGATTCCCTTCTTTCAAAACTTGCATTGTAACGATTAATTAAGCTACTGTGTAGTTATTTTCTGTACTTTATTGATTCGGGATTACTCTAAATGTGCTGAATTATTTACACACCCTGCACAGCCAATGCTAATTCAGAACATACCCGTTGGGACCTCAGAGTCCTGAAATGCTAAATGTAATCTGAGGATCAGTAACATTCCATTCATAAAATGTTTCACCCGCAGGTTAATGGAAATAAACAATAGGAAAGACAATGGGTGGATTATGCAAATACACTGGAAAGATTAAGCAGGGGAGGGAAGTACAAGAACCCAAGTGGAGCTTTATTTAAATGTGGATTAAGCTTTAGAGTACACAGAATGATTAAAGCTCCTTTGCTAATTTGCTAGCTCGTAAGAAGCACCATTGCTCAGGAAAGTCTATTAAAATAAATTGTCTGGAGGTGGGAGAAGAGGGCACAGAGAGGCAAAATTAAGCAAGTACACGTTCTAACAGTAAATAAATTATGAATATTCTGAACACTGGGGGGCTAGATCTGGGAAATGTCTATTTGCATTTATCTATACTGGAGAAACTTTCATGAAGCTACCAACTCCCCAAACAAATTCAGATGTGTTTCTCTTAAAAGGAAGAAAGAAAAACGGCTTTTATTCTTTCTTTTAAAGTTGACTTTCGGAAACAAATTTCTACTTGGAACTTATGTACTCGTGTGCTTTCTAGTAATCCATTCGGATTACAGTGGGGGGGGGATATAACTTCATTCTGAGGCCACTGGATAATTGAGTAGGACATCGAGATAAGCAAACTTCTTTCCAGCTCATTAATTTACAGGTTTCTAAATTGAAGTGGGGTGGCAGCTTAAGGACAGCCAGCTGCCTGCAGTCTGGATCCTGGGGGCGCGGGGAGGAGCTACAGCCTCAGAGGGGGAGGGATCTTGGCTGAATCTGGTTCAACAAAGCCAGTGGCTGCAGCAGGGTGTACCAGCTCTGGTCTCGGGGCTCCATAAGTGGAGAGTGACAGGAAGTAAAAATACACCTGTTAGTATACCCCGTGACCACTAACTTTAGAAGGAGCCCACTCCTCCCTGAACAGGCGTACTGGACCTTAGTTTCAGAATATCCCCTATTACCTGCCTTCCAGTTGTTGCTTCGCAGTTAGAATGCACCAGACAAGAAACATTTGGACACTGGCTCTTTGAGGAAGTCCTGCACGGGGGTTTGCATTTGTCCGTGGGGGGCAGGGGTGAAAGACGTAAACACCAGTGGCTGTTGTAGCATCCCTAAAAAGGGGACTTAAAACGCTGTTCATCTTAGGAGTTAAGTCATACAGTGGGTGTGTGTATGTTCTCCTCTACATAAGCATTTCCTTTACTCCGGGAGCTCAAATATCGAACCCTAAACAAGAAGTGCTTAGATGTTACACAATAATCTTCCTTCTACAATGACTCTGGGGTTTGTTCTTTAATGTCTATTCTCCTAGTGCATGTATCACGAAGACTTGAGGATCCTTTTCGTCATAATTGATACCTTACTAGTTCAAGACCTTGAAGTCACAGACTTGGTAAAATTTAACACTTAAAGTCACATCCAAGCTGACTCCTCATTTCAACTTTTCTCCAAGGTTCTCCCTTAATGCCAAGTAACCGTTTAGCTCTTGGATTAATATTAGACGTCTGATGTTTTTGTTCCTCCTTTTGTTTTTAAAGGTACTGTTTTCCTTTCGGACGACCTGAGGGTGCTCTGAAAGCTACGCTTTCCTTGCTTGAAAGGGTATGTATAAGGGTTTGTGGACGTCATTTATGCTCTTGAGGACTGTGCTTCAGCTGTTGAACTGAGCAGTCCCCAGGTGCTGGAGCTTCTTGCTGCACGCAACACTGCGTGAATGTTGGGCCTCTTCTTACTGCTTTCTTGTCTCCCCTACTCCTTCCTCCTTTGACGCCTTCCCACCGCCATGCTATCCTGATACTGTGCTGTGATTGCATTGTGATGTTATCTATCTTTCCATCCTTTCCCCACTTACTAGTTCATGGCATGCCCTGTTGTTGTCATTGCTGTTTGTTTTCTTGCTTTTAGTTATTTCTGCTTCCCAGACCACTTCACGCTTGCTTTCTAACATCCCCTCAGTTTCCCTGGTTTCCAATACTTACAGCCCTCATGCGTGTCAGCATCTACTATATAAAATGATAGACGTACCATTCCTTTTGTCCTTCCAGGCTCCACATTTGGTGTGCTTTCATCAAGGAATTCACAAGTCATAGAAATACGCTTCCCTTACAGAAATAAATAGCAACCAAGGTTTTTACATTCATCCTTTAAACCATGTTTTTAGGCATGGTATGTGCTATTTCTGTGGATGTTGAGGAAAAGTTTTTTTTCATGTTTGTTAATCTCCAAATGCAACTCTTCAACATCAGAATTATAAACAATTTTATTATCTATAGCTTGTTATTTTATTATTCTCGTCCTCATTTACAGACTTCATCTTGTCTATTTTTCTACTGAGTTAACTTTAGAGACGACTCTGTCTATCAGCATGTCTATTAGAGAAAGGTAGCAGGACCATTGCTCAGAACCTGGGTGACTGAAATGAAATCTTCAGATTATAGGTTGAGTTCATGTTATACCCTTGTCTCCTGTGTGCTGTACATGGGACGATGCCAGATGAAGATAGGTCCTTTCTAATTTTTATGCTGTTAAAAGCTGCATGTAGCATTGGCTCTTTTACAAGGTATTTATTCTGTTCCATACAGCAGTTACAAATAAGTTAGTTCTTAAAGTTGCTCTACTTTTCATACCTGAATACCGTCTTGGGTACCACACAACCTCTCTGTGTCCTGGTTTCCATGGCAGAGTCTTGTTTTTCCTCCCAGCAGGGAAGCGGTAGTAATCCAGAGATGCCCTGTGCCTTACATTGATGGGTGGCAGTGTGACAGTGACCCCTTCTAGTTACAGTCACTAATCACATCTCTTAGTGAATTGAAACAGAAATGCTAAAGGTCATTGCTTCATTTTTTTAAACACTCTCAACTAGCTAACAACTTACAAAAACTACATAAAATCTGTAAGAGCTCAGGCTCCTAGAGAATATGAAACACTATTCAAACCCTAGTCTCACTTCTAGGGAAAGCACGTATGTTATAATATCTAGTTATTCTTTCTACTATTTGAAGGTTCTCAGCATGGGAACCCCACATACAATCCATAAGCCTGTATATGGATCAGCATCATCTTAATGGTAAATTTTAGCAAAATTCTCACTAAATATAGTAGTTCACATTTGATGCCTATATATGTATTTTTTTTTACTGTGCACAGGTTTTTTTGTTTTTGTTTTGCTTTTTAGGCTACAAAGATCTACTATCCATTTCTGAATTACCTAATAGATGTCCTAATTAAATTTGATAATAAAAGAAATGTTTAACTAATCAAGCCAACTGTTTTCAAGAAAGTAAATCTTGCCTAAATATACTTGAAAATACTGCCAGTGGTTATTGATGCTCGTATGCTAGAATAAATTCAAGAGTATACAAACATTAGTGCAAAGAGAATAAAATAATAAAGTTCTTAAGGGTTGTTTTCAGTCTCTTTTAGTATTTATTTCAATGTAAGAGACTATTAGAATACTTATGAGACTTTAAAAGCACTTTATATTACCATTTTATATGTATCATCATTTGAATATAAACGAAGCAATTCCATTCAATATATGAAAAAATAGTCTGACTAACTGGGACTTACAATTTATAACAGGAGTTGTAATGAAAGGTATGACTACCTCATTAGAAAGTGTTCAAAATTACCTTTTGACTTTTTTATATAACTGTACTTGCTCCTTGCTAATAATAAAACATGTTAAGGAAAAAGATCCAAGAACACATTTTAGGAACCCAGCAAAGAATGACCTGTGTATTCTTTTTGTCCAAAACTGAAGAAAGTTTCCATGAAGCATTCATTCCACTAAAGCAGTTTCTTTCATCTTTGTTTTAGTTCACCACATCGCGTTCGGATCACAATTATTTTAAAGTTTAATTAGCAGTTTTTACCCGGAGCTCCAAAATTGTGCCCATTCATAATGAATTTTTCTTATGCTTTTTCACATATATTCAGAAGACCTGGGGCTTTTCCATTAGGACTATACTAGACAAACTTTGTTTATCACTTGTGCCGAGGACTGTAATCCTGATCTGAGACAGCTGCTGTAATGGTGTCGTGGATCCCTGGAGGAAAAGTGACAGTCACACTGAATCCTGGTGACCTGGCCTATGGGAGGTTTTGATGTGCACAAATGAGCCTTGGCCAGGAGGAACCAATACTGAAGGATTAGGTCCCAGTTGTGAAGTGCCGACTCATTACTTCCCACAAGTTACTGAAGGCCCCTCCCCCTTCCCAGGAACACTCAAGTCTGGGGCAATTTGTGTGATCTGTTTTTAGACTTTATTTTATGCAACGTCTCTCCTCTCTTCTTCTTTGCCCACCCCAATTCTCTCTTCTCTCTGTAGGTTTTAATGAAGGACATTGCCACTCCCATCCCCGCAGAGGAGGTGAAGAAAGTAGTCAGAAAATGTCTGGAGAAAGCTGCCTTGATCAATTACACTAGGCTCACAGAGTATGCCAAAATTGAAGGTCAGTGCCCTGAGCAATTGCCGAAGTGGCTGTGAGAGCCAACAATGCCTATTAACTGAATTTTCTCTGAGAAGTCCTTTCCCTCCCTGAACAATCCTGTGCCGTGGCAAAGGGAAATGTCTCATTAAAATCTCAGCTGGCGAACTGAAGCGCTTTTTCCTATTCATTGCTTTAATATGCCTCCTGGGACTCGGCTTGAATGAAAGACCCAGGATCCGTGCTTAAGTTGTCCTTTGTTCTTATTTTGAGTTTTCAAGAAACCAAAAGGTGTTTTCGTGGGTTGTATTTTTTGACGTTACTGTAAGTATGTCTAACGTTTAAACGATGGGCTGTGGATTCTTTACTGATTGCTGTCAGTGTAGCATTATGTCATTTTATTTTCTGGTCTGCCCTGTCACTCAGAGGAGGGAGAAACTTGTGGATTGTTGTGAGCGCTGACATAAGCCGGCAGAACTTCCTGCCGCTTCCAATTGCTTGCTCTATATTGATGCATTTCAAAGATTAGACCTCTTGAGAGGACTGTGCACTTTTTTCTCTTTCTTCAATTTTTATTCATTAAGGACACTGATATTTTAAATGTTTAGAGATAAATAGATGGGAAGTTGTGGCAGAGTCACAAGATCAGATTTGATTGTCCAGTCTTTTAACAGATGGTTTTAAAGGATTAAAGATTTGCTCAATTATTTGTTCAAATCGTTTGTTCGGATTGTCATAAAACTGACTTATCTCATGAATGTATCATTACAGAGAGAAAGGAAAAGTTTGTGTCTTGCTAAATGTTTATATCTTGACATAAGTAGGTAGTCATCCTGTAGATAAAGTTTAGTAACTTTTAATATTTTAAAATTCTGCTTAGTAAACGGTTAGTTTATGGACTAATTGGTGTTAGAATAATTTTATCAATTTTCAGTAAATGAGAAAGATAGATGTTGTTCTGTCTTCCTTTTTTTCTCCAAATCTAGACAAGCTCACTAACAAGCATGTGATAACCAACCTCCTGAGTGATTAACAAAAAAGCCATCTCATCACCATAGCAACCAATATTATATCACAAGAGTAACAACATGAAACCTCCTTAGTTACCAGCTTAACATCATTAATTATGATATCATGTTGAGTTAAAGCAAATGCAGTGAACACTTGGTCATTTGAAATAAGTGGAAGACGAATGCTTGGGTTTTCTCTTTGAATACTCCTTCATGTAGTGTTCATGTTTGGACTTTTGAGTGTTCCAAACATGGTTGAGAAAACTGATGTACAAACTGACATTAAAACCTTTCAGGTATCTCAAAGGATAGTTTGTGGGGACCTTCAATCATTATACTATCGTTTTGTACAAGTACATTTCCGATTTAAAAACCAAGGAAGGAAACTTTTCTTTCTGAGCTCTTCTGGCAGTGTTTTACTGCTATGCAAGAACGCTGAGAAGAAGTTAGACTGCGTTTCTCTGAGCTGTTCACTAGTTTATAGCCATAGAATTCATTATAAAAGGAAATGGAAGATCTTCTTTTATCTGTACATAGAGAGGTCTGTCCGAAGACCAAGTGGAGAGGAAGCAGGGATTCCCCCTATTGTCTCCTTTCCTGGACTCATCTTGAATTTAATGTGACAATATTCTAGAAAATGGATCCCAGCAATCCAAGATCTGCCAAGCTGTCTTAATTCAAAAATATGAAATGTTTGCTCACTCACAGATGAAAACTCATGTGCTTTTTCAGTGTCTACTTCTACCTTTCCTATTTTTATTTTCATTTTTAAAGTGATTTTTTTAAATGTTCAAACCAGACCAAGAACATACAAAATGATTTAGAAATAGGAAGACAGGCTAGTTTTCTTTGCTTGCTTAGCCTTAAATTCTCTTTTCTTATGTTTTAGGGCACGCAGAAAAGGAAACAGGTAAATTTTCTGCATGCACATGCTATTATTTTAATGTGTTTGGTATATGACTTTTTAGAAATATTTTTCGAAGTACTGAAGTCATAAAAATTAGCATGTACTTAATTTATATAAAAATGCAGCCATGGAACCATTCACAATGTATACTATAAGCCTGTTCGCCACTTCCAGAAGTTTCCTCCCACCCTGTCATTATTATTACAACCAGGTAGGGGGGAGAAAGTGCTCTCATAGCAGCTCTTAAGTGTACAAAACTTGCTGACCAGAGGTCATGGTATGTCTTTACGGCTTACTGATTTTTTATTTTAAATTTTACGCAATAGGTGATGATTTCCTGCTTTATGTACTATTCTCTTACTCTCTCTTTCCCGGTATTAGAGATCACTCAGTGGTGTCATGTAGTATTTGCCTTATCTATAGCTGGTTTGTTTTGATAACATGATGTCCTTCGTGTATATGTAGATCACCAAGGGTTAAGAGTGGGATTTCCTTTTGTCTGCATATGTCTTTGTCAGTAGACACTGTTTTGTTATTGGGGATAACATTGCAGTGAGATGGAAATAACGATACCTGAAGATTTTTAATTCTGTCCTTTTGGATGTATAGCAGACCTTATGGTAGTTCTATATTTTTTTTCATTCTCCCCCATATTGCTTTCCACAGTGTGTGTACCAATTTCCATTGGCACCCATGGTATCCAAACTCTCTCTTGATGTCCTTGCCCACCACTTGTTACATCAGGCAGTGGGTTTTTTGTGATCATGGTTGTTCTAGAGTAGGTAGTATCTCATTATGATTTTACTTGCATTACCATGATTAGTGACACTGCACATTTTTCATATAAACAAGTGACCCATTGGCAATTTGTAGTTCCTCATTTGATAAATGTCTAATTCTGTTCTTTTGGCCACTTTGATTGCATTATTTGGGGCTTCTGCTGTTGATCAGTTTGAGCATGTTTTATATTTCAAATGTTAGCACTCTCTCAGATAATATATCTTCTGTCATCCACAGGCTGTTTTTTCACTTTTTTTCCTTCCTTCCTGCTGGCTGTATGTGTTGTCTTCCTTCCTCTTGCTTGTATACTTTGACATTTATAAGTAGCTCCCCTGTCAGAGCACTTGTCTGATCCCTTTCACTAGGATTCTGAAAATAGTTGGATTTTTTTAAAACAACTATTGCTAATTCTTTGTAGGGGAAATATATGCTATTTTTTCTCTGACAGACCAGCGGTAGTTTTATACGAATTCAAGGCAAGAAACCTAAGACCACATTAATATTATACATTACATCTTAAGCATCTTATTTGGAAGTGGTTACCAATACTTGAAGGGTTCTCACAAACAGAGTCGAGAACAATCTTCCTTCATTACTTTTGAAAGCTGGCATGAGAGTAAAAAGCAAAACGGCTCTTAAATAAAATGAAGATGTTCTTATCTTTGAACAAATGAGCAGAGGCACTTGTACAGATGCCCCATGTGACATCCCTGTTTTCGAAGGTGTGTGTGTGTGTATGTGTGTGTGTCTGTCTGTCTCTCTGTCTCTCCGTCTGTGTCTGTGTCTATAGGTGAGTTTATGTATAGGTGTAGATGTTTCTGAATTAATTTAACTGTAATTAATTTAACTGTGTGTACCATTTTCTATACACTCCCCCTATCCCCTCTTCAAACTCTTCCATCAAGCAGAACGTGTATTGCCTAACCTGATGACAGAGCCGGCATTCTGAATTTTTGTTAATTAGTTTCCATCTGGGAACAATGGTGCATGAGACAAGTGGTAAGCCGTACTCATATCCACTTGCAGTGGTAGAGACAAATTCTCCTTTCATTTTGAAGCTCACATCTAAGGACTCTATTTCTTGGTGAGAAGCAGGAAGCTTTTTCTATTATTTTCTAGTGTCTGAGTCCTGAAAGGTGACAGGTACGAAACACTGAGACACAAAAGGGAGGGAAGAAAGACACCCTACAATGGTTACTGATGGCACTCAAGAGAAAATAAGTAATTAGCACAAAATGAGATTTTTATCATATCCACTCATGACAGCCCACACAATATCAGTAGTCCCATGTTCTTTAGCAAACTCTTTCAAAATATTTTGTGAAGCCAGCAAAATGGCTCAGCAGATAAAGACACTTGATACCAAGCCTGACAACTTGAGTTCAATCTCCAGAACCCATACTGTTGAAGGGCAGAACAAATTCCCTCAGGTTGCCCACAGGCTTCCTCATATGTCATGTGTACACTCAGAGAATAAACAAACAAACAAGTAAATAAGTGAGTAAATAAATACTTAGAAAAGACTGTATTTAATATGTACTATTTAATCCCCTACAGTCTATAACATGGTTGTTTGGAAAACTTTTTATCCTAACAAACTAACAAGAACTAGAGGAGTGTGTCTATGCCTTTCCCACTTCTGTAGAGTACAGAAGTCATCCATCCTAGACTAGGCTCAGTCCTGCTCCCTACCCTCTGGGGCTCTGTTTCCTCTATGAATAAGAAGAGATCTCAGGGCACCCTCAGGACACATGAGCAGAGAGAGGCTCTTGTATAGATCCCCCCCCCCAGTGGCTAAAGAAATGAGGAAGTAGAAAAGAGTCTTACCACAAGACACCCTCCCTTCACTCCTGTTAACTGTCCCTCCACCGTTCACTTGGACAACTCAGCAGCTTTAAGGAAAATAATTTTGTTAAAGCTAAATGCTTATATATAAAAAGTAAATGAATTATGGATATATGTGATTGACAGAAAGATGAGGAAGGTTCTAAATCAATGAAAGATTTTTAAGAAATGTATATTCCTTTAGTTGGATTTAGTAGTAGGACCAGCCCAAAGAGAGTTCTTGGTAAATGGCCCAGGGTGATTTTAAAAGTGAATACATATAAGAGTATTAACTGTCTTTCTATCGATGAATCCTTTAGAAAGAAAAATCTCTTGAACTACCTAGGAAGAAAATTCTACCCAAAATTCCTTATAATTTTGTAATCTGTCAATCAGCATGTCCTAAAAGTTTACAAAAATTAGGTATTTTATAGGAGTCGCTGATACTTCAGAAAAAAAGTTATAATAGCATTATCAAAATTCTGCATATTGTAGGATATCGCCTCGTCTCTGAGACCCAGAAATGTCTTCTATTCTTTCTCCACTGGTTGCTGGGCCTCCAAGACTGTCAGACTCAAAATGATAGCATTTTTTTTTGACAACCCCCTCAGCCATGTTACAAAAGCTAATAGTGTTGTTTTATCACCACTTTTCCCCAAAATAAAGTTGCTCACTAATATGAGAAGAACATTTCTGTGCTAGGCCCTTTGTAAGCAGCTTACAGGGAAACTTTGTGGTGCACAGTGTTACTGTTATGATTTCAGAAAGTCGAGTAAGTGGCTAAACAACTTATCTAGAGCCACACTTCTCTTAAGTAGGCCACTAAATCTCACTGTGTGCGAGCATTCGTCATATGCTCTCCCCTCTCACCGTGCCCCCCTTGAAAAGTTTGTGTCATTCTTTTCACTTAGTGGAAATTTTACCACATATGTCTCAGTTGTTGTGTTAAAAACACTTTCTATTTGTAAACCTCTTCCCAAGTTAGAGGGCACAGAATAAATAGTTTCTTCATCCTACTTACCATCCTATGGTGATAGCGCCATAAGGAGAGGGGTCTGTATTGCAATACCCGGCTCATCCCCAGTTTAGAGTGAAGCGCCAGGCGCGGCACATGCGTGGTACCTGGTAAATATTTATTGAGTGAACAAATGAGCTTAAGACACTGACAGTTATCTGGCTACTTACAGCGGAAAGAACATCCACAAGCTGGCAAGCTGCCTTGTGAAAGGTCATTCGAACCAATCGCTGAATAATTAAAATATAGGGCGAAAACTAGCCACTTAAAAACAACAGGATTGAAAAATAAGCTCGAGTCACATGCTCTTGTTAGAGAGAGAGGCAGCATGGCGCCGGTGCGGGGTCCGAGAAGACAGGGGTTAAGCTCATATACAGTACTGAGCAGTCTGCTGTTTCCTGACCCCTGCATGCTGCTCAGCTGTGATTCCTGGTTTCTTCTCTCCTTTGGCACTTTTTGTTGTCCATGGGCAGCACAAGTGTGTAAAAGAGAGGGATTTCAGGACCTGGAAATAAATTGGTGAAAGCTAATGACCTCATTCGATATCTCTCCTTCTTGGGCATGCTTCATTTAAACCAGTGGTTCACTTCAAGCATTTGAAATTTTGGAAAAGCAATTCTTGTTTAACTTGGGGGCTGTACAATCACTAGTTATTTAGATTCATATTTTTTTCGTGCTTCATGAGAAATCTTTGATTTATATCATATCCAAACCAAATCTTTTTAAAATCTGTTTATTTTGTAATCATGGGATTAATTTATTATAATCTAGAACTCATCATGACACGTAAACCTTATCTTCCTAATTGTTTATTCTTTTTAAATTGAATGGCTTGATAGTACAAAATAAGTGTCATTTTTGGTGAAAGCTCCCTTTGTTTTTTTAGTTCAAGGTGTTTCTTACAGACAAGAGCAGCAGTCATACATATGTCATTGATCCCTGGGGCTCTAGAAACTGTGTTTCTTACTGAGACTTACAATATAAACATGTTTCTTAGAGATGGCCTTGCATGGTTCTTTGGCATAGACTCCTTTGCAGTCTAGAAATTTGGAGATGCCTGGCATGGATGGAAAAGGAGGGGACTTTGCATGGTAAAGACTCTAACATCCCTCCCGTTGCTAGGTTCCCATACCTAAGCCCCAATGTACTATTTCCAGAGTACCAGTTGAATGGCACAGAAATTCTTTCCCGGGAGATACCATGCTTACTCTCTCTGAGAAAAGAAGTCGCACTGTGGCAGTCCTTACGTCATGAGGATGTGTGTGCCACCGGGGTGGCCTTTTAATTTAGCACTGCATTGTCAAGCGACAGTAGTAAATAATAAATCAGTAGAACCTGTTTTGCTTAAGATCTGTGTGCTGAGAAACAGAGTGTATATTCAGAA